CAGCTTGTGACTCTAGAGCGGTGTCCGATCTTATGCTGCCTTCAAGTCATATCAGAAATATTGTATTTACGAGATGGACGCACATGAACGGCACCACAGTGTCATATTTGCTAGTGGCTTATTTTTCAATAAGCCCTGAGTTTCCGAGTTGGGGGCGTGTCAACAAAAAACAATGATAGCCGCTGATAAACCAGCCATATTGCAGTTATTCATCAGCCACAGCCTTAACACTGCAGATTCCAACAAAGCAGGAGATCACCTGATCAGCAGTTTGAAGACTGAAACCAACTGATTAAACAAGTGGAATCAGGTGTGCTCCAGCTTGTTTTGAGTGAAAACCTGCAGCCACTCTTGTCCTCCGTGGATAAGATTGGACACCCCTGCTCTAGAGGAACCTGTGTCTCCGCCCTCACCTCCATCAACCAATGGATTGTTTTTTTTACGCTCCTCATCCCCGGAGTTCTAATGTCTCACCTGTTTGTCATTACATGTAATCAGTTAGGTAGCAAATAAGCCCGGGCTTTAGTTTAGTCGATTGCAAAGTATTGCCAACATCTCCAGCTGCATACTGAGTGTTCTTTGTATTGCTGACTATCTATGTATGACCTGTTTTGCCTTTGCCCTTTTGCTCTGTTGTTGTTGTTTTGCTTTTCCATGTTTGATCCTGGACTTTGTTTTTGGGCCTCTCTTTATGATTCTCCTGTTCTGGATGTCCTGCTTTCTGTGTTTGGCCTTGGTCTGTTTTGACCACGATTGTTGTATGAATCCCTTATTCTCAAGTAAAGCTCTACCTCGGGTTTTAATTTGCGAGCATCTGATTCGTTCTGAGAGCCTGACATTTTAATAGTATCAGGTTTATGATACTGTATATAACAGACCCAAAACTGGCACTAAAATCCTTGCCATATTGTAAACCACAGTGAGACAAACTGATTAAAAGAGAACAGAGGAGCATTATCACCATTTTGTTATCAACAGCGGATTTTGTTAAGCGCATGATTCAACTAGACGGTTGCCATGAGACAGATTACTCTGTAAGCTAAGACAAATCAGTCTTTTCAGCATCAGATATCAGATATTAGATTTGTGTGCACGCTGGTTCCAAACCTAGTGCTGAGGGGACCCCTTTAGCTGACGATGGGCATCGGGCATGGTGACCTTAGGCCCATTAAGTAATAGTACTTTTTTTGAGTATATCATATGTATCATTAGTATTTCTAGAACAATGAACAGTATGTCATATATGTACACAAACACACTACGTCACCTGACCATCACACTTATATGAGCACTGTTGGATGAGAAGGTCAGGGTTCTGGAATTCCTCCACACTAAGCTCATCAAATCATGACTTTATGGAGCTCGCTTTATGCATAGGGACACAATCGTGCTGGAACAGGAAAGTACTGACCATGGAAGCCCATTTCATTAAGTCTCTGACACACTATTCTTGTGCTGATTTTGCTTCCAGAGGCAGTTTGTAGTGAGTGGTGCAGCATAGACCATTTTTATATGCTACCTGATTCAGCATCCAGCAGCCCTGCTCTTTGAGTTTGCATGCATTACGTATTCATGGCTGATGTGTTGTTGCTCCTACATGCTTCCATTTTACAATAGTAGTACTGACAGTTGACTGGGGCATATCGAGCAGGGAAGACATTTCATCAACTGATTTAGGTGGCATCCTGTGACATCCTATGACTACATAAAGTCATTGAACTCTTCAGTACAGCCCATTCTACTGCCCATGTTTGTCTATGGAGATTGCATGGCTATGTGCTTGATTTTATGCACCTATTGGACATGAGTGAGAGCTCTGTGCTCCGATCAAACACTTTTATGGATGAAAATAGTGGATTAGTGGAAAGTGCGATTTTGAATGCGCTGAACGCTTCACATCAAGTCAGATGTGCTTTTGATATTAAAAACTCTGAACACAGGAGGTCTGGATACATCAGTCCGAGCTTTAGTCGCTGGATCTCCACAGAGCTCTGCAGGAGTGCCTTGTGTGTGGTGGAATTTGAGACTCTGATTAGCGTGGAGCGTTGGGCACTGCAAAAGCAGAACAAACTACAGGAGCCACCATGAGCTCTCAAATGAAATTCTGCATTAATGTTAATTTGGGCTGCAGCTGTCAGTTTTTTGCATACAATAAAGAAATCTCAATATATGTGTTTCACACTGTAGATTAATGTTTTTTTTTTGTTTTTCAATTTTATCATTATTGTATTGTTGTTATTCTATCATTAGTAGTTATTTTTATTAATTTTTTAATGAAACTTGAAACTACAAGGTAATGGAAAAGCATCATTGATAAACAATTGTTGTAGCAAACAGCATAGATTGCTATTCCTAGGGATCCTACCCAATCTGGCAACCCTCACCAGGTTGCTGATACTGTTTGAACATGTGGTCTAGGCAGGTCGCTTATTTCTGAGAAAAAGCAAGCTAAAATTTAGTCTGTGTGTGCTGCTGCGAGTCACCCTGAAAGCCTGAAATAGTAGTTTAAGCATCAGAGGCACCAGATTGGATTGTGCAGGAGTTTATTGGACCACGTTATACATCACTACATATTAACATCACACGCACAGGCTTAAAAAATAAAAGGAAAGTCCAGCTTGATGGAAAATCAGCATATTTGGCACATAGTGTTGTAACTTTAACAAGCACAACAGTGAGTGGAAATTGAACTGGGCTATTAAAACCAACATTATCACCTCAAATTAGAGCTCTAGCACAGGCAGGTAAGATTGGATTCTCAATGCCGTGACCTACTGTGGCTTTGACAGAAAAAGGCTGACAAAAGAAAAAGGCTGGCACCCCCTCTGGTGGAAATGGAAACCATCTGATGTTCTGAATATGTAACTGTAATACAGCTGTGGCTTTAAATAATAAAAGGAGTACTTATCAGTACATCGGTACAATATAATATCGGTCCAGCCCTGCTGTTTAGAGCAGGCTAAGCAGATGGGTAGAAACATACGGTAGAGTTAGCAGTAATCAGTGTTCCTACGTCATCATAGTAATGCTGGTTGCTAGTATTAGTTTCAAAGCATTTACCAAATAATTTATTGTAGTTACTGAATATTAAATTTTAAGATTAATTACAAAATAATGTTTTACTGTATACTGTTTACACAGTAATAGTTTAAACTTAACAACTAGAGCATAAATGGTTTGCATGTCTGTTACCTTTCTGTTCTGTATGTGTAGTGCTAACATGAGTCATCAAATGTTGAAAGCAAGCTGCAGTCAGTTATAGCAGCTATGTTGCCTTATGCAAACAGAAGTAAAAAATTGAAACAACTTGCTACAATATTGCTACATTTTTCAACCGTAAGCACAGTGACCACTGTCATCAGTGGCAGCACAACAGGGACATACTAAAGTTAGGCAGGTTAATCTGCCTGAGGGAAAAGAAAAGACTAAACCATATTCATAACTGAGCCTATTAATATTATTAAAAGCAGTATTATTATGTGCAGTCGTGATGCTTATTGGCTCTAAGGTGCCCCCTGCCTGTAACCACAAGCAGAAAAGAAGAAATAACAATATTGAGATACATAACTGTTTTGTACTAAAAGGTTGAGTTTAACTGGCTAGTGCATCTAAAAGATTAATACCATTTTATAGGTTATGTTTACCACAACTCTTTGGCCATGGGCTTTGTTTGTGCTGCAGGGTGCTGAGGATTCCAAACTCTCCATCAGATTCACTGCCCTTAGCCAGTCAACTGACCAGTTTGACCACATTTTCTCCTGTTGAAAGCTTTAGGCACCAGGTTTGGTAAACATAGCTAATGTAATTTAGCCTGGTAATACAGCTGTGGCACTAATTTTAAAGCCATTTGAGAGAACTCATGTTAAATAGTGAAATTCTAAGCGGACTTAATTCATCTTTAAATAGGACAAAGACCAGCTTTGGTGAGTATCCCCAAAGGGAGTCTCCAAGTGTTTTCACATTACCAGTCCGTGTGTATTTCAATTATTCTGGTTGTTTTTATCTTTGAGCTCTGTGGCTAAAGGTCTTTTTATACTGACGTGCCATTTTGCTAGACTTCCACTCTCTTTTTCTTGGAGATTTCATGTATGTAGAGTTATTTGACTGTGTCTGATTGTGTTTTTGAACTGGCTGGTCGTGATAGGGTTCAGTTGATCTTGTGCGGTTTATCTTTAGGCTGATGTGCTGGATGGCGATAAAATGTGTTGTTTTGTCTTGTGTTTTCACTACAGCACCTTGTGAAACCTGGCTCGTAACTCACACTCACTTAAGTTTAGCAGGCTGAAGGTTCTTCACAAGGGAGAGCTGTTAGTGTTAAAGCAACTTTTTCTGTGCATCATTAGAACGGAAGAACATGCATGAAGAACAGTTATGCAAAGAATTAAGTTTATTGTATGACAAGTATTCATTTCATCAGATTGTGGATGACCACAGGCAAAAAAGCAGAAAAGATGTGGAACTTAGCATGAGGGACACAGTCTGAATAGAGCAAAGCAGGAGAGACCTGTATAAGACCTGAGTGATAAAAAACAGCACCACCCTCCCTGTTGGCAAAACCAAGCCACAACACTAAATTTCATAAGCAATTAGTCCTGGTCCACAATCATTGCAAGTGGCAGGCCAGTTTTAACCCAGAGCTGTTTAGACTTGGGGGGTTCAGTCTTATCCACAAAGGGCCGATGTGGCTACAGGTTTTTATTCCAAACAAGCAAGAGCACACCTGATTCCACTTTTTCAGTCATTTGGTTTCAGTGTTCAAGCAACTGATTATGTTAGCTTGTGCTTTGTTGGAATGAAAACCTGCAGCCACACCAGCCCTTTGCGTATAAGATTGGACACCCCTGTTTTAGACAAACAGACATAACAACAAATAATTAACAAGCCATAGATATTTAGCTTGTACTGTGTGGGCTGTGTGCTTTACTGGCTGTTGGATGAAGTTGAATCATAATATGTTTTGAACCCTAATAAAATTCAATAACCTTTTCTTTTTGTTATAGACCTCATTGTAAAACTTCTACAGCAAAACATGGGAGGAATTAAACCAGAGGAGCTCCAGAAGGTATGTCTATGTGTTTGTTCATTTATTTGTACTAAATAACTAATGCATTTGTTATTGTCATCATAATCCTGTGTTTGAATCTCATTTTGCAATGTTTCTGTACTTCCCTGCTGTTCCCTCAACGTTATGGCGCAACAGCCTGAGAACGTTGTCCTAACACTACAGGTAACAACCTCCAGCAGCTTTACTAGCATTTTTACTTTCCATTTACACTAGTTAGCCAGAGCAACGGATCTCCTCCTTATGAATCTGTGTACAGCACAATACAATGTAAGTCTTAGGACATCTGAGAAAAATAATTTGTCTGTCCGATAAGTGTTTACTTGCCTGGAAAAACACTAGAATTAGAATACAGAAAATGTGTTCACTTAGCCACAGACTGTTTACTGGGGTTTTACTGATTTTAGGACAGTAACCAGTTAACTCAGCTTTATTTCAGCAATACAGGCTAAACTGGTGAACATGATCAGAAAGCAACATCATGGTCAAAATAACAAAACATGATGCGTACAGACTTACCCTTTAGCAGGAGAATAATGTTATTAAAAAGTTTATGTGAAGGAGAAATTATATAAGAAAATAACAGAGAAATCTGTGAGGAATTCTGGGAAGGCCCAACTCCAGCACAAAAAACATCAAAAGCTTTGTGAGATTCTGCTGTTAAAGAAATTTAGCGATTAAGAACTGTATATAATCATAATTGGCAATTCACACTTGACAACTCAGTCATATCAGTCAGTCGGCCACTGTTTAACTACAACTATTGGAGTCTGTTTAATTTTTGTTCATATAAAATTATATCAAACAATATTATCCATTATTGGAATGTTTAGTTCTTGAAAATTGGTAAAGTTTTCGTATATGTCAGCTCTAATTTACTGTAACATTTTGTAATGTTTTTACAAGTGCTCAGATTTTAAATGTTTTTTTCAGGTGGTCTGAGTTTTTGCACATTACTCTATATGAAAATTCATTCTCCTCTCTCTTTATCCTCTCTCTGCAGGCTATTTACTATGAGATAGGCTTCATCGTGCTGGCGGTGTTGGGGGTTTTGTTTGTGATGCTTATGCCGCTGGTGGGCTTTTTTTTCTGCCTGTGCCGCTGCTGTGAGAACTGTGGAGGAGAAATGCATCAGAGACACCGCAAGAACGCTGACTGCCAGCGGGGCTTTTATACAGCCAGCCTCATTGCTTCATCTATCTTCATCACGTAAGTCTCTACAAAAGCAAAACCATTAAAAAAAGAATGTAAGGGTTCACAGCTACCCATTTTACTATTTCTATGTACATATTTATTTATGTAAATCTTATTTGAATATACCGCTGAGAAAATATATTTCTGAACTGAACTGAATTAAGAAACAAAGTGTAAAGAAGATTTACAGGGGAGGTTTGAAAACGTAATTTATACAATTTATACAATTTCCTAATTTATACAGTGTTTTCCATTAGCCAAAACATGTTTGATTTACTTCTTTAGCAAGTAATAGAAGTTTATACCCCACCAATTAGCACTGTACAAACTGCGTACCTAAATCATCACACACTTGTCTCAAACTACATTGAGTTGTTAAGAATTCTCAAATAGACTTGCTTATGTGGACACTGTATGACATCTATAAAAACAGACAAAAATAGTGTTTTAGCACAAAGAAAAATTTTAGATTATTATTTTAAGTGTATGTGATTTGACACTACTAGGTAACCTACAGAATGAAAGTGCATTGATCATGATTTTTTTGTGGGCAATTCCAATTTCTTTGCTTTTGCCTTTTTTTTCCTTTTTTAAGCTACCTGATGCTCACACTGCACAGGCTGAATGAACACACTAAAACTACTAGGCAAATTCGAATCAAACTACTTTGGCATTTTATTAGCCAAAGTTGCAACAGAAATAACATTATTTGGTCTTTAGTGACCTAAACTGACATTTTAAATTTATAAATAAAAAATCAGTCAGCTGTTTAAATAACATAAATCAAATGACATGCTACACTGAAGTATATGGCAACTGGATGCTTAGCACAATGAGTCGTCCATAATAATGCTGGGAGATTTTGATGTCTGGGTAGCAGCTGCATTTAAATCAAACACCTACCTGTCTCACATTTATTATTTTATTTATGTCATAAGATTGTAACACCTAAATCAAAATAATATAATATATTGCCTGATTCCTGATCGTGTGGTTGAAACCGATTCTGATCTTGGCCAATTCCAACCATGCATCCATACCACGGAACAATAACCATCACAAGATGATAAATTTATCTTCTTTTTGTTAGATTTTTTTCCATTTATAGCTCTGCTTTGATGACATCCTTTCACTTAGTGAGTTACAATATCAGCTGCCCAGCATTGAGGTTTTGCATCACATGATAAATCAAAAATGACGATAATATAGTTTGTCTCATTTTTTACTCCAAACTACACATGATTTTCTTCATGTACCCAAAAAGCACTGAAATGAGCTCAGATATCTGTATATTCAAATAGCCACACCCATCCCTAGTTCACAGGTGTGGTAGGCAGTGCTTGTTTTTCAGCATTAGGCAGAATGTGCACTTGTTTTTGGAGCTAAGTATTAAAGTTCAGTACTTTACTTAATGGCTGACCAAATTGCTTCAAGTATCAAAACATTCCATATCATTCAGTAATTTCAATACATAAGCAGTCAGTCTTATCAGTATTCACAAGCCAGTATGCATGCTTGTTCCAAAATCTAGACTGCTGATTGGCTGTCTCAGTTACAGGGTTCCCGCAGATACTTGAAACGTTTTATAAGGTCATATAAGCCCAATCTATTTCCAGTCCTTTGTATCGTTTTGTGCTCTGTTTACCCCACTGTAACAGAGGCACCATGAGCGGACATTATTCACAACCTGCAGTAGTGAGGAGTGTTTCTTAGAAGGTAACAAGACAGTAACAAACTACTAACAAGGTAGAAAACGAGAACTTGTAATGTCTGCAGCCATCTTCCGTCTAAACATGCAAGCGCTCGACTATTCTAGTCTGTTTTCTGACATTTGGTGCATGTACACATGTACAAATACACTCCTGCGGTCCTTTTCTCTTGCGAGTTCCAACCAACTGAGAAGAAAACTGTCACATAAACGCTCTGCTTTACCAGCTGTGCCAAGCTGCTTCTGGTTTTAAACTGGTGTTAGCAGACACAGTATTCAAACTTCAGTCTTCAGAACTGAAAGAAAGGAGCAGCAGCTGAGCACACATTATAGCAAAATGAAATCTGTGAATTCATGACTCTATAAAATGGCAATTTCACATAAGAAGTCCACAAAAAACCTATTTTTCAAAAATGTTAAAGATTTTATTGCATATTAACGTGACTGGTAACCACATCATTATGGATGTCAATAAAACTGCATCATGTTAAACAGTAAGCCAAAACTTAAGCTAAAAATGTAAATGTAACAGTCTGGTTACATTTTGTAATGTTACATTACGCACAAGCTGAAAATGAAGAAAATGTACAGTTGTATTATTTCTGAAAATGCAAAGATTGCATTGGAGCTGATACTTCATATTAAAGGACTCAAATCTGAGCGGGGGGGCAGGGGGCCAGTTCGGGACATCCCTACTTAAATTATATGATGATTCTTGAAAAACACATCATTTTATGTATTGAACTAATTGAGAACAACCAAAACTACAGCAGTCCTGATAACAAAGCCAAACACTGTGCAAGAACCATACAATCTTAAAGCATGTTTCCTTTACAACCAATTGGTTTGAACGAAATAGACCTTAATACATATTTGAGCAATCCTGAATTACGTTCTGTACACATGTTATTATCAGAGCTTCTTTATTAGTCTGCATTCCATTGCAATCAGTGAACACACAAACTTCCAGCTCCTCACACTCATTTCTGCTTTAAAACACACCTACCTTCAGTTTGTAGGTTAACAGAAGGCATCAGAAAAAGTTTTGGTCAGGAACCGATATGGATGTCACATTTTTAATGATATCCCTAAATGATACACAAAGTGACATTGGTACAATCTGCCTGTTTTTCATGGAGATTTTTATCCTTAATGAAGAGTGAATATTGTCTCTTACACTAGCCACACTGTAAAAGCAGTGAATGGTTAATTTAAGCTGAATGCACACATCTGCAGAGTCCAGTGCATTAACATAACCTGTATGTTAAAGAGCGTTCTGTTACACACTAAGTAGGCTTTAGTATAATCAGTGTGCTTTTTATGAAGAAGCAAAACAAGTGATTGTGTCTTACTGGCATGCTGTAGTTTGCCAGATGACTTAAAAGTGTTGGCAGCTTAATTTCAAATATTTAAAACTATTCCAGTGAATCTAAAGATTTGTGACTTAAGGATTGTAAAGAATTGGAAAAAAAAGCCTAAATAATATTTTAAAGGAAGTGAAAAGCTAGAAAAACTCAATTTCTCTACCTCATGAGGACTGTGTGGAACCTCAGAGCTGCAGGCTTTTGCATCTTTTTTAAGCTTTTGTTGCAAGAAGGCAATTGGTTATCACCCAAACACTGTTGTTAAAGTTTGGCATTGTGGCTAGGTGGCTCAGATAGGTGACAGATCAGTTAGTAGGTAGCTTGCTCACTGGTAGTCGTTTAAGAATTTTGGTTTGTGTGGTAAAGAGCCGCTGGCTAGAAATCTACCCTAATTCTGATTGGTTCAAAGGATCACTTGATGTCAGTCAGTGTCTTCCAATATAGTGCAACACAAATCAAATCCAAACCTGTAACCATGAAAGGGAAGAAATCTCTCATTCAAAATGACCAACACTATTTTTTGCACCATTTTGCAGTCAGTAACATGTTCATGCAGGAGCCTGTAGCTAAAAGCATAAACAGATTAAGAAAATAAGTTGACAGACTCAAGTATAAACAAATACTTTTTCGTCCACCACCTTTAAAGCCACAAAGCCGTTCTATTTCTTTCAGCTTTATACTGTAATCTTATTCTTGTCAGCAGTTCCTCTTAGATGGTTTAAAGGTTCAGAACAGCTTTCTTCTAATCACTTTATGTCAGGAAACCTACATAAAGCTCTACTCCTACATACCTTTCGTGTTGTGCAACCTTGCACTTGAAACATTTGGAGCTATAGCAATAACTGTGAAGAGTAATTGTGTAGTGTGAAAGCAGCTTTACCTCAAACATTAGGAAATATGAGTGCAGTTTTGAGCCCATCCTTTACTTTTACCAGGTTATATTTAGTATCCAAAGCTGTGTTAATAAATTTGAGTGAACAAAAGCCTCCAGCTCCTTTCTCGTTTGGCTTTATAGTCAGTCCCATAGCAGGATCACCACTTTGTTGGCCTGAAGTGACACCTTTATAGGAGTTTTGGAGTTGTATTAATTTGAAGTTGTATAGGATTGTAAATAGTAATGTTTAATTAAATTAAAGTGAAAAAGGAAAATGTTTTTAAGAACAGTATGTGCAACGGACTGAGCTTCTGTCAGCTTTGTTTCTCTACTCTGGTAACAAAATAGTTCTCTTGGACAAAAACAAGAACACCTCATCCGTTATATGACTTTTTTATTTGCATTTACATTATTTATTTGGCAAATACATTTAGAATATGATTTACCACATTTGTGGCAGAAAAGTCTGTTCACCTCAAGTGAGCTTACAGATGTTTATAAAAATTTTGGTGACTTTGTTCATCATTTGCCTTTTCCATGAAGTCTGTTTTTTGCAGTATGCCAAAATACATATAACAATACATGGATGGAAACCTAGCTTGTAATAATAACATAGGCAGTTGTCTAATAACACACACATACGCACACTAATAACACACAGAGCTTTTAACAGTTTTTTTCCCCTTGTTTATTGCATTGCACAGAACAAAAAAGCAGCTTTACACACACACATTTAAAACGCTCTTAGGAATCAATTATCCTTTGTTTGTAAATTGTTCAGGGTGCACAGTCCTATGTAACAGAGTCTATATGTGTGTGTATGTGTGGCTGAAGCTTCTAGTTAAAGTTCATTACACTAATTCGCTGCTAGAAATAGAATGGAGGTCATGGGCTGTGCAATAACCCCCCCCCCGACCCATCATCCCCTGTCTATCTTCCACCTCCCTCTCATTCTATTTCTGCCCCCTCTCACTGTCTCTCCATATTTCATTTGTTATTTTTCTGTTTCTGCCTCTTTCTCTGTGCAGTGTCCATCTTGTCCTACTCTTCTGTCTTCTCTGTGTGTCTCTCTCTGTCCTTGTCTTTGCGTGATAAACACAATCTGTGCTACTGAACTGCTGAACTGCAGTGTAATCTAATCCTGTCTAGAGCAGTTAGGGTACAGTGATTGTGTCTATATGAGTGAGATACAGAGAAAGGGAAATATATGTGTGTGTGTGTGTGTGTGTGTGTGTGTGTGTATAAATATTGTGGTACATAACGAAACATATAACGAAACATGTTCAGGCTGCTTCTTGGTGCATAAACATTAAGACAAGGACATGAGTGCACATGTACTGTTTGTGTGTGTATATATATATATATATATATATATATATATATATATATATATACATATATATATATATATATATATATATAAAACCTTTTTCTTATATTTGCGCTGCTGCTCACCAGGTACTACCTGCACATGCCAGCATCCTGATCTTGTTCCTTAATTTTCCATTTGATTCTGATCACAAAAATCGGACCCCTACAGTTCAGTGTTTTCTAATACTGTGCTATTCGTTAGTGCTTTTTTAACTTGGTCTGCAAGTTCCTGCCTATTGTTCTGCAGGTTTCTAATCATGGTTCAAAAAATGGAGGAAAAGCTTCAAACATCTCAATTAAGGATGTGTAACTCAGTGTGTAATCAAATGGAACATTATCATTAGCAGAAAGGCCCAGAGAGGAGAGCACACCTGCCGTGGTTTAGAGTGACACACAACACACACACACACACACACACACACACACACACACACAGTTACAGAGTTGTGACTTGCAGAACTCACAAAAGCATGATTTTCTTTCCTCTTTTGTGTGTGTGTGTGTGTTTGCGCGCACGGCAGTTATGTGACATTGATAGCCCTGAGTTTGTCCTGAGAGAAATTCCCCACTTTAAGTTCTCTGCCCTCCATCCCTCTCCTTTCTCTTTTTTCTTTCCTGGACGGTGCTGACAGCCGCTTCTCAGACCACAATGAGCGTTTGTGAAGGCTACACAACCATGGGCCCTATCTGCATGCTGTGTGCATGTGTCTGTCTGTGTGTGTCTGCTTGTTTGTGACTTTCACTGGTTGAGACAGAATGTGTTTGGATTGGGAGACTGACTCTTCTGCAGCTGTGCCTTTTCACAACTTTTTTTTTCTAATATCTTTTTTTAGCAACTTTGGTTTCTTTTCTTACATGATATTTCCTGCTTTTTTAATATCCTTAAAGGTCGGAGTGCCAGGGAGAGAACAAGAGAGATCTTAGCCACTCAGACAATGGAAAAAGTGTACAGTGCGAATAAACTAGTTCTTGGCAAGTGATATAATAACAATATAACAATAATAACAATAAATACTTGAAAGAAAGAAAGAAAATCTCAGTACAGTTAAAGAAAATCTCAGTACAGTTACAGTAATCAGTTCTGCAACTCTTCAGTTTTTACATTAGTCTTAAAATGAGAAACATTAAGTATTTTGACTAGATTTAAGATGATTTCACTTGTTAAGATTTATTTTTTGCAGTGTATGTGGGATATTGTTGTTGGCCTGTTAAACTGTTCATAAACTTGCTCTAACAATTCGAAAAGAAGTAGATCTGCTTTCAATCAAAGGTCCCAGATACAAACAGTGTAAAGGCAGGGTTAAAAGTTTTAGTGAGGTCCATTTAGCAGAAAATTGACTTATATTACGTACTCACTATACTAACACAGTCAATAAACTGAGTATGTCTATTAGACCAACTGTCACTTTCTCCTTTATGTTTTTCTTCCATAAAATGTTATTACTACCCATAAACTGCTTGTCTCTTTTTCTCTCTTCTTCCCTTTTCTCTTATCAGTCCTCACTCATTAGTGAAAAAGCATATATTAAAAGTGTGTTATAAAAAGCACTCTCTATATCACTCTTTGATATATTTAATCACTTATGTAATATAAGCATTAAGCATTCAAATGTACCGAATGCTTATTATGGTACATGATACTGTGCCATCAATGTGCTAGTTTACAGTGAACATTCTCATGCTCTTTGTAGTATGTTACAAGTAGTTAACACAATACAGCAACTTTGAACTACCATTAATTTCTCATGAAATCGCTAATATAGCTATCTATGGAGCTTATGGCCTAGGCTGTGCACCTACTGGAAACAGACTAAAGGCTGTTTTATGAGTGGTCCAAATAAAAATGAATTATGAGGTTTGCATTTTACAAGCCTTATCTGTTGGTCTCAATCCTAAACTCTCACATGTTTATCATAGCTTTGTTGGATTTTGCTGCAAACCTAAACACCTTAGGACATCATGGTCACTCTGAGTAACGTAACGCGTCTTGTACAGAGATAAACATAGCAGGTGGTTAATCTGTGGCCAAAGCACAGCTGTTCTGAGATAAACTGAGAACCTGTCCCTGCTGATCTGCTGAAAATTCTTCTGAATCTGCCCAGGACCTCTGTGTCCTCATGCTAGTTACAAAAATGGCTGATGTGCTGTTAACAAACTGAAGGCTTGAGGCAATGGCAGATGGCAAAGAAGTGACTGGAAGGCTGCAGTTTAATAAATATTCCATCCTCATTAGATTGGGAAGTTCTGTGATCAATCCCAGGCCTACCCATGGGCTGTGCCCCTGAGTAGGCTACCACATCATCAGAATGGCACTGTTTCCCCATTAAATCTCCTGAATGGAGAAACAACCCATTCAAAACATCTAAGATTCAGACCTCGGTGTCCTCATAGCTAGCTACAGCCATGGGTGGAGGCCCATGATCTGTTTGAAGTGGTTCACTTGTTAACTCGTTCGCTCTTCAGTGCGTAGTGTTTTCCATATAGTGGACTGAGTGGGAAATGTCCATGGTACAACTGAAACACATACTACATAGTGCATAAATTATCTAAAATGGAACATTTTTAAATGTGTTATTATTGTATACTTTGCCATACATTTGACTTACATTAACTATGTATCTCTCCCTGTTCAAGTACATGACTATATAATTACTTACAGTTATGTACATAATTGTATTTTCATTTATTCTTTATTTGCAAGTTAGAGGCTACACTTGTGACTTTTTCCGTTTTGCTCTGATGTCAAGAAATGATAAAACGTCAAAAATGTACACAATGGTTTTCCCATAAACTATACACACCACAAAAATAACAATCAAATTTGAACAAATACCTCTTCTACTTACAAACACAAATGTGGTCTTACTTTGAAGTTTAGAATCTGCATTTTCAACAGAACTTATGCTTTTTTCAGTGAGCTACAACAGAGAAATAATACCAGAAAATATAAACAGAAGGTTTCATGATGCATACATAATTTGGGGACCTAGGAGGGTTAAAGAAGTTGAATTAGTGCCTCCCTGTGGTCAAAGTCAGTTACTGCATAACCTCTCTGTCATAACCCTGTGTATTAACAGAATAACTGTATATATTGCATATCGCCGCTATAAACAAATATTTTTGTTGATTTTTTCTACACCATTTGAACAGCTGTCATTTATATTGTATGAACATGTATTGATGGATGGACCAATAGAAATGCTCCAGAATCACTTGAAATAAAACCTCTTTACATAAACTTGCATTAAAAGTTAAAAGATTTATGCCTTTTTCTGTGAAATTACCATTTTGCAGATACACTTTTTTGGACAGCAATGATACGTACCATATGTATAAACTGCTTGCCATTTTTTATCTGTTGTTGTGTGTGTTGCAGAGTGGGTGTGCTAGTTGCCTACACAGCGAACCATAATATCACCACCCGGATCAAAAGCACCAGAAGACTTGTCAGCACGAACATAAGAGACTTGAAATCATTCGCCAATTATACACCAGCGGTAAAAAGACACACGCACACAGTTACAAAGACATAGTGTTGCGTGCATAGGCACTGTGGGAGGGTATTGGGTTGTTGGCCCCCAAACCTAAAATTTGGGCTAAAGTATTAGAAACAGTAGAGGAAGTAAATTAATTGACTTTATTAAACCACTGACACAGAAAGAGTAAAGCTATTATTTTTAATCACATTTTCAAGATTTCAGTGCTGAGAACAACATATAATTACTTCCATGTCAGAGGCAGTCATGAAAAAAATAGGGTTCCCTCACTCCTGACATCTCAACATATAGTCTTGGTTAGGGTGGGGCAAAAATAGAGGGTGAAATAGCATGTAGCAGTCTAAAATGCATATAAAGCATCAGTGGCTGCATCGGCCACAAGTGGCTGGAAAAACCTGTGCTATTTTGCGTATGCAAGTATCCAAAGTTGTTTGAAACATATTTTGAATTATTTCATTTGGAGCTTGAGGCTGCAGTACAGCATTAACTATGCTTTTCTGGTTGCTGTAGCCATCCCTAAAGCCGACAATGCTTAAAATCCCTTTCACAGCCAAGACAGTAAATAATGAGGGAAGATGCAAAGTAAACCAAAAATGATGCTGTTTATTCAAGTAAAGCTGCATGGCTCACAGGCTGATGAAAAAGAATGCTGTTAAAATTGCTGAACTTGAGCTACACAAATGACCCAAAAAAATAATTTTGGGAGCTGGGACACCCGGTAAGTCCAATAGGCAGCCCCTTCCCCATATTGGCTCAAATCTCTTGGCACCCATGGTTGCATGTATAGCACTTAAACTTACTGACCTTCATAAGATCGAATTGCACACAGTGACTACTAATCTGATGCTATTCTCTTTGTTTGCTGTTGTTGATTATATTTACAGCAAATAGATTACCTGACTGCACAGTACACAACAGCCAAGAATAAAGTACTCTCAGATTTAGACAGTAAGTAGTTTCTCTCGCTCTCTTACTGACATCTAAGTCTTTACAGTCTTTGTCTGTTATGTAACTGTGTTTTTGTCATGTAACTGTCAATGTCATCAGACATTGGGCCTTTACTGGGTGGCCGAATACACAACCAGCTGGAGAAAGAAGTGGTGCCTGCTTTAGACAACGCCCTACGCATGACAGGAGGTACTGTCAAATACATATTAATTCTGTGATTCTGGACTCAACTGTTTGTTACAAATTACCCAAAACCTAAACCTAAAGACATGTTCAGGCTCTTTTATCAAAGTACAGCTCCATTTCAAATAAATGCATGCAAAGTAGGTCTGTGAGGTCTGTTATAAAGGTCAGGGTTTTTGGAAATTCACCATACTAACAGGGACACACATTCACAAATTGGCATCTGAATTGTATCATTTTATGTCATTACAGTAACACAATTATATCTAATGTTTCCCCAGCAATACATTTAGAGACTATGGTTTTATACCTTTTAACCTGGGCTGCATGCATTCCCACATCGGACACAGTAAAATGTATGAGCATGTGGAATTGGAGCTTTCTGTGCACAACTGTGTTTTCTGTGCACTTTTAGAATGGGGTTAAGATCACTGGTTCGAGTAACCATAAAAGATAAAGTATATTCATATTCTTGTGCTTCATTCATTTTCTTGTTTCAAATGGTAGCATGTGAAACAAACAAAATAAAAATCTATTTTAAGCAGTATTAAGAAACAATTTAATCACCAGAGATGAGTAGATTCCAAAGTAGAAGTAGCTGCTGGCTTGTAAAGTAAAGGTTAACAGCATTTTACTCAACAGTTTTCAGTAACACTAGAATGCTGCTTCAGAACATTGAAATATCCATTCCATAAACATGTCATGATTTTGTTCAGTAATATAACAGTGTCATGTTACCATTAACAGTCATCGTCATGACTGATGCCATATTGTTTTATATCAAGACAGCTTATATCACATGCTGATTTTTGCTATGCACTCATTAGTCGTCACAACATCAAACATTATGACATCTGTTATGACAATTAACTGTCGGTCTGTATATAACCTGTCAAGACAGTATATTACATGTTTATGGCATGACGTCAATTTTATGTAGCAGGGTTCAAGTAAGCTGTTACCCAGTTTTCTGTTCTAATGAGGATGTGCACACACACTAAAACATGTACATACACTTTACAAACAGATGCAATTTAACAAGGAACATTATATTACATTGTATTAATCATTTATACAGACATACAGACATGTACACATATACTGATGTGTGGCATTAAATGCTTTGCACCCTTCTCTCCCTCTCTCGCTCTCATCTCTCTCTCTCTCTCTCTCTCTCTCTCTCTCTCACTCTCTCTCTCTCTCTCTCTCTCTGTGAAAATGCGTGATTTTGTGCTAAAGTCAAAGTGGAAGGTGCAATTAAAGGTAATGGATCAAGCACCCACCTGTGCTCATAGAGCATGTGCTCATCATTCTGTTACTCGTGTCTGTGATAGTGAAGTGCATTTGTCGTGTTTTTGGTGATCACTGTGCTGATGTTACGAACATATTCATGTTGTGATGCAGCTGTTGGTGTGTCGTTGTTTCTTTATTGTAGTTTGTGTTTGTTGTTATTGTCAGTGATGCGCTTCATGGTTGAATCAGTACCATGCCCGAAAGTTTACACCTTGTGTTTCCGTGTGTCTCCAGTGCGTCTCCAGTGACTGGATTTCGTGACTGAAGGAAGGATATTGCGCACATTTACTACATTAGTTTCTCTCGGCATTTGCTGTCAAGCATAGTCAAGCAGAGCTTATGGTTTTTCCTTTAGAGTGAGCAAAATACGCTTCTAGTATACATATCAACTTACTAGTTAAGGTCAAAACTAGTTAGTTAAAAAAGATTTCAGAAAATTGGAGCATCTGTGTTTTTTCTTGCTCAGCATGCTTAACTAGTTTTTCGTTTAATAACATCAATTATATGATTCTTGGAATAAAGTGTGTGGTGTCTCTCTCCTTTTGAGACATAAAATAAATATAAGAATAATCATATTGAGCGAGCGAGGAGCGGGAAGAAGAAAATCTGGAGTGATTACAGAAATTTTTGAGCGAGGAGTGGAAATGTCTGCCGCTCCAATCCACATACTGTGATCAGATTGCTTTAATGCTCGTATTATACATCTGATATGGTCATACATGGTCACTAACCATCTCCAAAAGCTATAGCGATAACACACAACCTCGAGTGTTCTACTGCTTTTATACAACAGTTAAATAAAGTAAGAAATAAATAAATTGGGCCGTGAACGTGGCATTTAATATGTTTTAATGTTAGATTCCTTCCGCCAAATTATAGTTCCTTAACAAGCAGCTTGTTGCTACGTCAGAGTAACGTACTCCGCTCACTCGCTGCACAGCCAGCAGTTCGTTCTCCAACTCCTTACACAGACCAACTTACAGTTTGGGAATTTAGTGTAGTCTCATCTTCAGAGTCTGACCAAATCGGCTGTGGGTCAAATGTGATCTTAAAAGTATCCATTTCTGTTTGTGCGCAAAGTAAGAAGTAAAAACATTCAAATGGCTTGAGCGTCTCCTATCAAAGTCGTTGCTTAGCAATGGCATCTCAGCGGAGTGATACAGTGTTTGTGAATAACCCGTGACCAGTCAGCTTGCGTGGCTTGAACTAACTGTTGTATAACACCATATAAACTATTCTGATGATAGAACAAAGCGGTTTCGTACAGTCAGTGTGGTGTCAGCTAGTAAACAAGCCAAACTGATGTCATCATGAGGTCATAATGACAAATCTACTACCACATATTCCATTCAGTTTTATTTGTATGCCACATTTTACCACATATATTGTTCCAAAGCACATGTTGCCTTATCCTATTACAATAAATACAAAATGTATCATTTAAAGTACGTGAGGACCTAGTGAGCTTAACACTGATTCCTTTAACTGTACTTTTACGCATATTGTGGGTTTTGGACCCAGAACGCCTGGTAGGTTATTTAAAAAAGAGAGATGCTCCCTCACAGGCTCTAATCTAATAATGGCACAGCAACATTGAAACAAGCTGATATCTCTGCCGGGTTACATAAGTGAGCTTGTGGGATAAATGTGCAGGTCTTTCATTAAACTCAACGCGCATGAGAGATAACTCAGCCAGCAATACTGCTGCCAAATCCCCTGCGAAAACCCTGCAGGATTTAAATATCCACACAGCCATGGTCCAACTGAGAAGCAGGTTTCCAAAATAGTAAAAGCAGGAAGACTGTGTACGCAAGAGATAATGTAGTGAGCCAGAGAATCAACACAGCCCCAACATCCAGTTGTGTATGTGCATGTTTGTTTGAGGTCGTGTGTTTCTCCATACATACCCTTATTATATTAAAGCTGTGTGTGAGTCGAGTAAAGGTTGTTTAAAAATCAGACCTTCATGTGTTAATGCCTTTATAGCTAATATGAGATGTATGTTATTTTTGTTGTCTGTATTATGTTAATAAGAAATCATTTTGAATTGTACCAAAATAATGGTGAAATTTGATTTGATTAGAATTGTAGTCAGATCGTAACATTGTAAAATCAAAGATATATACCACTAGTTTTTATTCTTACACATGTACTGTACTGCAACAGTCAGAGACCACCCTTTATTTTATTTTATTTCCAAGTAATTCCTTTTAAGATCAATAAGATATTCCAGTTGCGTAAGGAAGGGAAAAGTCAAAGAAGAAACACAGAAATGTCAAAGAAAAACATGGAAAAAAGTTTCCACAACTGGCATTAAAAAAAATATTGAAAGATACAAAGAAAATGCAACCGTGAAGGATCTGGTAGATCACTAAAACTGTCACCATCAGATAAACAGTACTAAATTGCAAAAAATCAAGCTCCACTCTTGCTTCATATCTGTAAAAATCCACAGGTGTTTCTGTCAAACGACTAAACGCTATCAGTCTGTAGCTGTCCAGATGGCAAAAAGGACAGTTTGCAAATCGAACAAAGAAGCTGCTGGTGTTCTCAGAACAATCAACTGACTATCCCAGAGCTCAGAACTTTACATTATTAAATGTGTGTAAGAAGGAGAAAATGCAACCAACTTGTAAAACTGAACTTTAGAGGTATAGAAAATTGTCCCTGCAGATTTTCTTTATAGTACAACTTAAAGCAAGTCTCCCAAAAAAATGGAAGCTGTAATAAAGACAATGGGTCGACACACTAAATGCTGAAAAAGTTGTATTATTTTAATAGCTCTTGAGGCATCTCTGTAATTTTCTGTGAATGATGTGTTTTTTGTTTATTTGTTTTTTTTTTCTTGACACTGAAAAAAGAATAACCTGAAATGGTTGTTATGACTCAAAATTAATTGAAGGGTACTGTGTGTGTTTGCATTTGTATGCCCACATGATTTTGATGTGTTATTGTACCTGTGTGTATGTGTGTTTAGCAATGCGGGAGACTAAGGAGGCTCTAGAAAGTGTAAGTACGTCTTTGGAGACCCTGCAAGACGGGACAGGGAAGCTGCAGAGGTCCCTGCAGTCCGAGCGTGCTTCACTCTCAAACACTCTCAACGATCCAGCCTGCAGCAACGGAGATGTCTCACACACGTGCAACAACGTTAGAGGCACGCTCAGCCAGCTTGCTATCAGTGCCAACTTTAATGGGGTAATGCTCACGCATACGCAGACACACACATTCATCCAGCTAAAAGCACATACAGAGTAGATACACACATACAGAGTGGAATCAAGACTTCACACATTTGTTCTTGTAATTTAATATACGTCTAGTGCATATGTCCACTTTACATTATACACATACCTGTATTTTGACTTTTCACAAAAAAGTATGTAAGCGAAAAATATGTTTAAAAAACAAAATTGGTAGGGAAACAAGAATTTTTGATTGGTGGACTATTCTCAGTCCAGCAGTGACTCTGAAGTGTTTAAAAACTCCAGCAGCACTGCTGTGTCTGATCCACTCATACCAGCACAACAAACAAGACACACCACCACCTCATCAGCGTCACTGCAGTGCTAAGAATAATCCACCACCCAAATAACACCTGCTCTGTGGGGGTCCTGACCACTGAAGAACAGAGTAAAAGGGGCTAACAAAGTATACAGAGAAACAGATGGACTACAAAGTGCTCCTATATGATGAGTGGAGCTGAGAAATGGTGTTTTAATGATTGATGTATATTAAGTTTCTCAGAGACGACATATACACAGTGAAGTACGGAGGTGGGAGCATCAAAATATGGAACTGCTTCTCTGCAAACATCACTGAGATACGACACGTCATCAAATGAAAAATGAATAGAATGATGTCCCAGGACTTATTAGAAGAGAGTTGAATTTAATCTAAGAACCTGGGGAGAAGACGGATGTATCAACAAAACAATGACCAGAAAACAGAGAACCAAAACAGCTCAGCAAAGATTTCATGACTTGAATCTCTTAGAAAATGTATGGAGGATCTTGAAACTGCGAGTCCATCAGAAGTTCTCTCATAAGCTTTGGGAATTGAAGACAGTTTGCCAAAAGGAATGGGCCAAAATTGAACCACAATACTACAAAAAGCTAATTTCTTCTTAGCGTTGACATCACTAAGCCATAATTGCGGCATCCGAATCCTTTTTTCCCCCTATCAATATCACTTTTTAAACAGATGCTTGTTTATGCTTATGAATGCATTATGAATGTATACCTTTTTGCTTATAGAAGTTTTACAGTGTTTTTGCAACTACAAAGTCAAAAAACATTGTGGACATATGCACTGGAAGTGTATTAAATAAAAAAAATAAGTGTCTGAATTCTTGTTTCCCCTCACTTTATGCACATAGATATACAAATACACATGCATAGGCAAGATAAGAGGGCCTCTGGGTAAGTTAGAGAGTCAGACCAACTCCTTAATGCTCGTTACTTTTATGCTTTTCGTTCAGCTCCTTTGTCTGTGATTGAAGCCTGATTTCTGAACTGTGTGTTATGCTGCAGCTCCCTGATGTAAGCCCCCAACTGACAAATCTAGAAACCGTGATGAGGACTGACCTCAGCTACATCGTACAGAAGGTATGATTGACATTTTTCCCTCAAGAGCTGAAATGAAATTACTAATGAATTTGAATATATTTAATAATGTGTGTGAATTGTGATTATTGAAATTAATACTTGAATTGAATTTGATAGTTTAAAATGAACATTTGTATTAACTGTAAACACGTATAATTGCATTTGGATCAAATACATTTATTTAAATATTAATAATTCAGATGCATAACTTGGTCTCTTATTTTTTACATCCATTTCCTTAAACACCGTGCAGCAGTGTTTTACTGTTAATTATCTCTCTTCTCATTTGTGTTCTTGTTGACCTCTTTCTGCTTTCTGTTTAGGGTTACTCTGCTTTTAATGACACTCCTAGGATGGTGAGCGAACAGACAAGAGGCGTTGTGTCAAGTGAGTTTTTTTCCCAACCATCCAATTATCTACAAGAATTTATTCTTCATTAATGGAAGTAGGAGTAGCTCCTCCCTTCGTGCTTCACATTGTAGGACCAACACCATATTCCAAAATCGACCGATTCTAAGCATACACGTTGGATTTTCTGAGTATAGTAAACTGGCATTATATACTAAGATCACATTTTATATTTACTATACAAAATAATGTATCATTTTCTTTTCTTTCTGTATTACCCTTGGGTGAACTGCAGCCCTGCCAAGTAAGTTTTGCAGATAATTTGTGCTACATCTGACTAGATGTTTTAGTACTTTTTTAATTTATTAAATTTTATTAGTGTTTTTTTGGTACTTAACTTTCATTCCCCTCTTTCTCTGTGAAGTAAATTTGATGCTAACATCTTGTCTCCATACACCACACACATGCTAACTAAAACACCTCTCCTTTCCTCTTTCTGTGGTTAAGGGGTGAAAGCTTTGTTGGATAAGTCAGGTGCAGAGATTGTTGGCTTCACTAAGATGTTCCCGGTGGAACCAGCACTAGAGAACTTCACCAAGTTCCTCACAGAAGGACAGAAGAACATTGAGGCATACTATCCTCAGATAGACCAGTTTGATTTCTACAGGTAACAAGACCACTGACAGTCACACTGAAGCCATAAAGTAAAGACCAGAAATGGCTTAAAAGAAGCCATCATTGCACATGAAGTATCCATTTTATAACCTGAACGGACTACATAGGCCATTTACCTTCTAAACATACTGAAGCCTTCAAACAATCATATGTTCTATTATATTCTGTTTGCATAGACAGCGTATTTACTACTGCAGTGGAATTTTTAGAAGTTATTAGTGTTATTTTGCTGCACTGTTTAAATGTTTAAACCTACAATTATAGAATTAATTACATAGTTACATAGTTGATTATGCTTACGTTTGATTGACCTTGTCTGTCAACAGGTGTGTATCTGCACTTTTCATTGTTCTTGGTTACAGAAATGACAGAAACAGGGCACATTTTTTTCCTTTTTCTTTGCACAAGACTGTATAAAAGCATTAATTTTAAATGTTACCTACTGACAAACACATTTGTGGTGTATATTGAAAGTGCAGATGCCAAAAACCATTTTCTCCGCTTGTCTCCATAAGATCCAATTTGGGTTTCTCTCCTTTTTGTAGATGGATCGCTTGTGTTGTGGTGTGCTGTATGCTGGTGCTGATCCTGGCCTTCAACTTCCTGGGATTGATGTGTGGATCATGTGGCTATGATAAGAACGCCACCCCCACCACACGAGGCTGCCTGTCAAACACTGGCGGCAATCTCCTCATGGCGTAAGTAGCACTGTAACCACTGGTTTACAATTCACAGTGGCCAAATCAGTGAAGCCAAGGTCTTTGCTAATTGGCTAAGCTGCATGGATGCTGGCTGAGTTCCACAAACCAACTTAAACAAACCAAGAAGGCTGGACAGACTGGCATTATTATATGATGATAACTACACGGGTTACTGCAAACTATTATAGATGCTGTGAATGGCTGAGACTGACTGGTACATATTTGTGGTAGAAAACATTTTTTACAAATAATCAACATGAATATTGTAGCATGAATACCCTATTTTTTTATATACTGTTTTTTTATATGCTGCTGCCAAATTGTGCCACATACATCCCCCCACATTGTGTCTTGTTTTTCTGACATCTCAAGAGGTGTCGGGTTCAGCTTCATCTTCTCCTGGATTTTGATGGGAGTTGTAGTCACTACGTTTGTTGCTGGAGGCAACATGGAGAAGCTTGTGTGTGAGCCTCTGGCCAACAGACAGCTGTATAAGGTATTTCCACTAAACAAGGACAAGATAACATGATGTGAATGACCTAGGCAGTTTTCCTCACAGTATTTTTACAGCAGGCACAAACTCTGACAGGCATAGGACTTCTTATCATTAATTGATGTTGCCTTTATTAGCCTGTCAGTTTTATCTATCACAGGATTAAAAATGTTTGTAGTCATCTGTCACAAGTTTTTATCAGGTAAAAGTAGACATAAGCATTGAATATAGAATTACCAGTTAGCAGTGTCATCTCTCTGTTCAGGCTGCAATAACTAAAAAGGCAAAATAATTAGCCTTGTTTTCTTGCTAATGCTAAATGTTAAGCCTCAAGGCTGTCAAGAACATTATATAAAATCCAATCCAAAAGCCTCTGCCAACATGCTGCAGACACTGGTTATTTGAAGGGACTAATTCATAAATTATTTTATTGAAGTGGAATTTAAACATACTTTCTGATCCAGTGACAGCTGTAACTGTTGCTTACATAACAGGCACTATTGTTAAGAATGTGGAATTTTATTCTGTTTACATTTGGCAGCGCTCAGGTTCAGATCAGGTTTGGACAGAATTTTGTGCACTCGGATTCTAAAGTTGGTGCTAGGGGTCAGATTGGATTTGGGCAGAATGTTCTCGGGTCATAGTTTGGGCCAGTGTTCCAATCAAAGCCCTAATGTCTCTGACCTAGGAGCATATAAGAAAGTGGCTCAGATCTGATTTTAAAAGATCTGATTTTTGTTTTCACACACATTTGTGTCTCAGTTAGGCAAAACACAGGGTTTACATGCTTCAGCTCTAACGTAGTCAAAGTCAGAGGCCTTAAATTTGTGTGCTTTATTGCAGATTTATAACAGGGTGTGTTCACGAATGCTGCTGCATTTTTTGTGTAGGTGATAGACACACCATACTTGGTCCATCCAGGTAAAAAGAACTTTCTCCCTGGATTGCTGTTTCAAGACCCCAACCTTGAACTTACCATTGGCAGCCTGTACAGGTGTGTGCACATTTGTGTTTGTGTTTGTTTGTGCGTCTGTCCTTTTTGCATCTACTTATGTATGTACACAGCAGCACTCTAATAGTGTTGGGCATTTAAGAAAATATGTACAGCAGTTTATCGACTAGTAGGCGTTTATCTGTTTTAAAAACTTCTGGCATTAGAATTAATACAAATAAATTAATAAACAATACAATATGATTTTATGTACATGATTGTCTTAGCACCCCGTGTCTGCGTGGGTTTCCTCCGGGTACTCCGGTTTCCTCCCACAGTCCAAAAACATGCAGTCAGGTCAATTGGACGTGCTAAATTGCCCCTAGGTGTGAGTGTGTGTGGATGTATATGTCTGTTTGTCTGCCCTGCGATGGACTGGCGACCTGTCCAGGGTGTATCCTGCCTTCCGCCCGATGACAGCTGGGATAGGCTCCAGCACCCCACCGCGACCCAGAAGGATAAGCGGTTTAGATGATGGATGGATGGATGGATTGTCTTAGCATCACTATTTACAGACTTCTCCTTGAGAACCTCCAGGATTTACAGTTACTATGCAATACCCAGCTCAGCTAATCATTACTTCATTATGCAGTGGCTGGAGTACAAAAGTCAGGAGCCAAATCTGTGTTCTTCTAACTGTATTCTTCTAAAGTTTACAGAAGTTCATACCTTAAAAAAAACAAGAATTATCCTTACATTTTCTGTATTTCTTGTTTGTTTGTAATTATTCTGTTACATTTTATTTTTACTGACTGAGATATAGTTTACAAATTTCTTACCTAAGACGTTTTGCACAATGCATCTGTTCATCCAAATGACTAATGGTTTTATTCTCTCCCAAAAATGGACTACAGTGTTTGTCCACCAGAGGGCTATACTTCTGTATGGTTTAGAATAAGACATTATTTCTGTGCTTTTTTCTCAGGGATTGTTATGAGAATAGCGGCATATATGCTGCATTACAACTGGAGAACAAGTTCAACTTCATTAGGTTTATCAATGCAACAGTGGTGAGTTTCATGTCTGTTAGTATAAAAGTTAAGACAACAGATGCCTAATGTTAAAGAGGTGTTTGACTCCTTTGGATTTGACAAGATACGCTAAACAGAATATAACCTGTTTGTGTGTGTGTGTGTGTGTGTGTGTGTGTGTGTGTGTGTGTGTGTGTTGTGTGTTTTACAGTATAATCAGGAGCTGGCTAATATATTTGGTGGAGTGAAAGTGGACCTGCAAGGAATAATACTACTAGAGCAAGAGGGCAAAGACAACCTCATTAACTTTGCTAATACAGGCCTTGGAGAAATCAACTACCAGGCTTACCTTTCAGAGGTAATGCACCACATGTACAACTTCACACACGCATCAAGTGATCTAAAGCCACATGCACTTTTACCTGGTTATTTTACAGTAATTAAAAGGAAAAGGGTTGAGTGTGAAAACAAGCCAGATTTAAGATTCCTGTAAACTTGACACGGTACAACATTTACAGCATTTAGCAGATGCTCTTATCCAGAGTGAAAAATGCCATTCTCTTGAATCAAGTTTCTCATAAGTGACAGAATTATTAGGCACATTTTGCCACCCTTGCTTAAGTGCTGCTGTTGGCAGTTACCTAGTTTGCCTATATAGACATATCAGCCCTGAGTTAATGCAGTTATGCAGAGATTTATTCATGCAAACTGACTAAATAGCATGAACATGATTTAATTCTTAATCCATTTATCATTTGTCACTCACACAAGTACACATTACTGTCTTTATGTCTTTTCTTTGGCATCTGTACTACTATAGCTTATTAAACACAGATCTGTGCCTAACTTGAACCCTAATCTCAGTAAGCTTAAGGAACTTTTGTTGACTCTTTCACTTTGTTAAATAAAGTAGACACCTTTGTGAAAAAAAATATATTTTTCTTCATGGGGACCAGCCAGATTTCCTTAGTAGATCAAAAATTTTATGTTTTTCTCTGATCCAGATGTAAATACACAGCTACACACATATAAACAAACTCTCATACACACTCAGTTGTCACATCTCTCTCTCTCTCTCTCTCTCGCTCTCTCTCTCTGGGGACATCAACATCAAGCACTTACTGATTACTGTTTAGTTCTTTCATCTGTGTTTATGTGCATGTGTTTAATTTGGCAGGTAAATAAAGGAGTGACTGTTGTGGATCTTCTGTCTTTTGCGAATGAACTGGAGGCCCAGGCCGACCATCTGGTGAGCAAAATTACATTTTTACTAATACTAGACTGGCTATAGCAGTAGATATATGTAAGTAACTTCCGACTCCAAACGTTGAATTTTGAAAAAACAATTGCCTGTATTTAAAGTATCTAAAATGCACCCATACTCATATATTTGCTCTGAATAACTTATCTTTGTTTTAAGCTGAGTAAACACACTGTTTTTAGTTTGAATTTCAGGTTAAGATTTCAATTGATGGTGTAGATGATCTGGTAGTGTGAGAGGAGAAACGACTCTAGACTTCTGATCTAGCTCCGGAGTAATCCGTTGTAAAGGCCTTCCAATATTTTCAAGGCGTTTTTTACAATTTACAATTAAAAAAGTCCTGTAGTGTGAAGTGGTCAGCGTAACTGACCACTTCACAGCGTAATATTTAAATAATATCGTAAGTTAAAGGAAACTGACTGCTTAGCACAATAAGTCATGCATAATAATGTAGCAACAGCATTCAAAATACAGCACCAATGCACTTGGTGCCAAACAAGTATTTGAAGCAAAAATCTGCTTGACTGTACATCCCTAGTGCTTTCTATAATAGATTCAAATAGGAAGAAATTTAAATAAGTCTTTCTTATCAAAAGCAAGCTGTGTGTTTTTCGGAAGTTAAAATATAGCAGTTTGAACATCTGGAACGTTTTTGGGACTTTCTCCATCTGTAGAGTCAAACAAAAACCCCCTTTCACAGCAGTGACCCACAGAGACACACACACACACACACACACACACACATAGACAACTCAGGAAACTTTTGTAACGTGTGAACGGAGTAGACTGAGGGTTTTTTAAAGTGCTGGAGCAAGCACAAACAACATGCACCAGGACATGAACCCTTATGCTCATGTCTCGTGCATTTATTTGAATGGCATGAAAGCTAAATCTAGTGTGAGCATTTAGTTTTTGAGAGATTTGATAAGTTTTTTTTTAACTTTTTTAAGTTAGCTTGGCCAATTTAATTTGTTTATGTGGCTGCAATTCAGTAAACTAAATCATCTCCATCTGTTTTTCTGAATACTTTGTGAGCCCCCTTTCACTCTGTTCTTCAATGGCCAGGACCTCCACAGAGCAGGTATTATTTGGGTGGTGGATCTTTCTCAGCCATGCAGTGACACTGAAGTGGTGGTGGTGTGTTAGTGTGTGTTGCGCTGGTGTGAGTGGATCAGACGCAGCAGTGCTGCTGGAGTTCCTAAATACCTCAGCTGGATTGGGACTAGTCCTTCTACCAGAAATATCCAGCCACAGTTTCCTGTGGGCAGCATCCTGTGACCACTGATAAAGGAGTATAGGATAACAAACACAAAGTGTGCAGCAGCAGATGAGATACTACCTCTGACTTTACATCTACAAGTTGGACCAACAAAGTAGCAGTGTCTGAAAGAGTGGACAGTGAGTGGACACAGTGTTCAAAAACTCCATCAGCACTGCTGTGTCTGATCCACTCATATCAACACAACACACACTAATACACACCACCGTGTCAGTTTCACTGCTGTGCTGAGAATGATCCACCACCCAAATAATACCTGCTCTGTGCAAGTGGAGCTGATAAAATGGACCAAAAGTGTAGATACAAGGAGGTGACTAGTAATTTCTAATATTGTGCATGAATAAAATTACACCAAAGAGAGTCTTGCACAGTATTGTAAACCAGTTGTAGGCATTTACAACGGAAACTTACTATTTACTTAGCTTTCAGGTATTTTTATTCTCTTAAAACACAACAGTTGACAGTGACATGCATTACAGTTTGGTGTGGATAGAATTAAAAAACTAAAACAACTCTGCTTGGCAACAAAGACTCTGCTGTTTTAAGGAACAGAGCATTAGTGTAGATATAATTCATGTTATTTATCAATATCAAGGTGTGATACTAAACCTAATATCGTCATAGTGTCAGTCCCTATTTCTTAACGTATCTGGATTTCTTCTCTGTCACCTCTCTCATTCTCTTCATCTTCTCCTCAGCCCCGTGGAGCTCTGGGGAATGCACTGAAGGGTCACGCAAGCAGCATCAGACAGATCCATAAAGAACAAGTGTTGCCCATGGAGCAAGCTATGGTAATCACAAACACACATTCCACACTTGTACACAGCTTACAAGCCTTTCTGTTGAACCATTTACTTATCTCTCTTTCTACTCCTCCCTTTTTGCAACTAAAGAAATTTGTGAGAGCAAGGGTAAGACAGGAGTTCAGGAATATGATGTGCTAACAGAAAATATTCTCTAAAACCTTTGTAGTTGTGATGTATATGTGTGTTTTGATGCTGTTGTTTTGGCCCTACAAGAAACTGAGTTACTCTCCATTTATGTGTGTGCATAATTTATAAGGCATTTTATGTGTACCTGTAAATTATGCTCTGTGATTGAGTGTTGTTTCCTTGAATGTATAGCAGAGAATGTTCTGTTTGTATTGTACATTAATGGTATTTGATTTTAAATCCCACCCTGTCTTCTTTAGCTCTTATCTGACTGATATTGTACTCTTCTCTGCCTTTCATACAGAAATAGGCAGATTATTTCTAGTATGGCCAGCATTAGAGTTTTATTTCTAAGAGTCTTCAGTCTGTCTTGTGTATTCATGCAGTATCATGCTTCTCTTTCAGAGTTCTCTCAGTCAAAGTATCACGTTACTTCAGACCACTTCCAGAGAGCTTCCTGTAAGTCCATAGCACATTGCTGACATTGTTTAAGGTTCCCTTCTCAGATCAAAATGTACCCCCCCCCCACTTCTTCATACAGACAAGTTTTGTTTTTTTTTTACATAAGGATGTGAAGTCTTACTTATCTATATATATATATTATGGATGTAAATGATAAACCAATTAACCATTAACTAATAAATAAACAATTGTTTGACAAATGCTATTAGTTAAAAATGCTAACACTTAATTTTATTACAATTTCCAACAATCAGCAATTTCCATTTGAATAGGCAGGTTTATCATTCAAGTTAAGAATATTTTTTAAACTCTATGCATATTATAGTTGTCGAACCCTTGGTTTAAACAAAACCAGTTCCTACGTAAGGTATAATTGATATGATTTCAGGATGTTTACTTTATATACATGCTTTTGCCCCACCTGTCAGTGCGAAGTTCCACTGTCAATACAAGCAACACTAATATCTTAGTGCATTGGCGTCTTAGAAGTGTGCAAATGTAGCTCAGCTAGGTGAATTTTTTCTGAAATTATATGCTTGTCTGATTTTCAGGCTAAAGTGACCAACGTGCTGAGTGCCATTGATGCAGCTGAGTATCTCATTGCCAACAATGCCTCACATGTTGTCAAACAGGTACAAATGCAGCACTGATTACTTTAACCACCCATCAAGCTATACATCCATTCTGTCACCCAGAACAAGTACAACTTGTACTAAAAAAGGTGTACTAAAAGTATCACTAAGAGGCTTTTTTTCTGTTACAGGAGACAGAAAAATACATCAAGAACCTGGTGGGATACTTCAGGCAGTACACTAACTGGGTCCAGAATTCGGTACGTTTGTTTCTGTTTGTGTATCTGTTTATGCATGCAAATGGGTGTTTATGCATCCCAAACGATATACACTAATGTTTAATAGTAAGGAATTACTGCTTTAAAGTATAGTCCTACAAATCAAGGCTGAAATGATGAATCTGGCTGCAAAACACCATCATGATTAAAACAATAAAATGTGTCCAGACTTAACCTTTGGCATGAGAATATCATGGTATAACTTTTTTTAATAAGGAGAAGTAATAAAAACTAAGAGGTAACACAGCGAATTCTGGGTACAGTACTGCAACATTTATATTATTTAATTTCAGAATTTTTTTTATGTTTAAGAAGTAAGTATTAGAATTGGCCACAACATTTTCACATCGTCGAGCCCATTTTTTTGGCTTCTAATGTCATAATGCTGCTGTCATAATGCTGCTGATGTCATAATGTTGTAACTTGTGTTTCTCTGTAGTTAACATTGGAGGTGGCTCAGTGTAAACCAATTAGCAACATCATAGACTCTCTGGAGATTGTTGGCTGCAGTTTTATAGTGGACTCAGTGGTAAGTCATGCAGCACCTCTCTTCCTGCTTCATATTCTGCCCATGCACATATGGCGTATAGAGAGCATACTAATAAGGCTAGAACATGCACTAGAGCAGCATGGCCATACCAGCACACACAGCAGAACAAGATACTCACTGTTCACACTCCAAACCCCCAGGTGATGCAAAACAGAAGAGGGATGTTATTGGAGAGATGTGTGTGCACTGCGGGGTTGGGGGGAGAGGGAGTAAGAGTGAGATGTAGAGGGAGAGCGCATACGTGCATTAGTACATGTAAAATATGAACTGCCTCAGCACTGTATACAATATTTAGGCGTGTTGTGGGCACTACTGTCAAAAGTTTGGAATTACTAGTCACATTGTGTGTAGTTAGGCACAGTTACATTTGCTCAAATTTGACACTAAAGAAAGATTTTTCCATTTAAAAAAGCAGTGCATTTTGGTTGTGAGAGCAACAGTGGCTGCATATTCTAACCAATAAGTGTAAAGATTGTATATATCACATATACAGTCAGTGGCTCCAACTCCTCTGTGATTGTAGCCTCTCATTCTCAATCATACAGCTAGCAGATTCTTGTTAGAGTGAAGGCTCTTGAGGGGAACTGGAACTATTGCTTTTGTTAGTTTGCTGCTGGCTGGTTTGTCCATAGTTCTCAGGTGTTTGATTATAGGTCTCGATGTTTGATTATTATTGTTATTACTGAACATGTGAGGTTTTACAGTATTAGAATAAAAAAAATGTAAAGCATAATCTTTAATGTGTAGTTAAACTGGTTTTACTGCAAACAGTGATGCCAGACTTTTGCACATCTATGTGTGCATGTGTGTGTTTCAACACACTTGCAGATATATATACATTTTGGCACAAATTCAAGATCCCTGAACTCCCAGTGCACCCCAAATACCTCCACATAAAAGCACGTTTCTTAAGGTCAGCTTGCTAAAATTAAGGTAGCATTGAGCTGAGTAAATCCCACAGTTAGCATGGAGGTTCAGGTCAACTCAGGGCTAGCTTAAGTAGAACCCTAGGTTTCCTAACCCATGATAACCACAGGTTTGTCTTGTTGTAGCCCTCAGGTGTTTACAACAGCAGCCTGACACCTAAGTCTGCCGCTCAAAGAGGGTTTCTTTAGTAGTCTTAAGAGGATGTATGGAGTCAGAGCTGTTTACATTGCCAGCAGCTTGACTGTAAATACAGAATGTCCTCATAATCTGGGCCAATCTGTCTACCATCCTTATCTCAACGGCATTAGAGTCAATAAAGGTCACAGTATTCTGTTCTCATTGCCTAAGCATCAAATTTTTATTTGAAGGCCAGGTTGTGTAATAATTATTTGTGTGTGTGTGTGTGTGTGTGTGTGTGTGTGTGTGTGTGTGTGCGTGTGTGTCTGTGCATGGCAGAACACATTCTGGTTTGGTCTAGGTGGCTGCTGTTTGTTCCTTATCCCCAGTATCATCATGTCGGTCAAACTTGCCAAATTCTACCGCAGAATGGACACTGAGGACGTATTCGATGAGTGAGTGAACACATATCGACACTAGTTGTCCAAAAGTTTGTAGATACCTGCTCACATAACTGTTCAACTAGTAAAACAGGAGTAAAACATTAACATCTAAAATATAAGTATAAAAATATATTAGACTATACTGTCGATTATCTGAATTTTTAGCCCCCTAAAATCACATCTGTATCGATGTTGGAAGGCCTTGTTGAAACTTGAGGATTTGATTGCATTTATTCACAAGAGCATTAATAAATGATATTGGACGATTAGTCCTGGATTACAAACCCCACTCCAACTCATTCCAAATGTACTGGATAGAGCTCCATCACTCCAGAGAACACAGTTCCACTGCCCCACAGCTTATGCTGGGGGCTTCATACCTTCTATATGCTGACCATTGCCATTGAGTTTGATGAACTTGGCACCAGAGTGTCCGAGGCTCATATATAAAATATATACTATATATACTTAGTATATATAAAGCATATATAAAAACATATCCGCACGAACTTGGTATGTTGTTGTTGCTTTAAGCCCTAATAAGTTGAGGCCAAGTGAATTAAATCATGTTACTGTACTGTTTACATGTAATAGTTATGTAAATCATTACATTACCATTCAATTTATACTCTGCACTGACAGGTTCAAGCCTTCACTTCAGACTTTTTTCTTGTTGGTTTCGATGTCAGTGCTAAAGACACAATGTGTTTTTTTTTCTTTCTGCAAAACGAAACACATTATTGACAAACACAAATGCCATATCAATATCAATGAGTGAGAAATAATTAATATACTTTTACACTAATACAATAATATAATATGCTTTTGTTGTCATGAGTCATGAAATTTTAGCTGACAGTTAATTGGCATATAAATAATTGTGATTCATAATTTAACTGTCTCTGCTTGTTTATTATATTAAACTATTAAGGCACTACTGTAAAGTGGCCAAACCGATTAGCTGTCTTGCTTCTTATCTATGTTTACTTAGTAGCTATGTTTACTGGTTGTGCTGAAATTACTACACTGTTATCTGTTTCTGTTATACAGAATAATTTTCTTGAGTGAAAATATAAGCAGCAATCATTCTGCTAGCATACATACTAAAAACGTTAGTTAGCAGATAAATAAGCATGTTACTTGTGCTGCCATTTAAATGTGTTGCAGTGCCAAGTTAGTGGTTATTTTAATGAGACTTATTATGTGTCACAATGAATTGTCTCAATCCAGCATAGCTAGTTCACCACAGATTTCCTGCTTGTTGTGGCATATTATGATTGTGAAATCTAATAACTCTGCAATATGACTGCAGTGAGCTTCTGTGATCTCAAAGAATTGCAGTAACCCCAAGTAATTGCAATTAGGCGGTTATCTAATAGTGACAGGCCTAACTGCAGCTTCTAAGGGTTAAAGCTACTTAAAGATGCTAAAAAACTGTTGCAGAAATTACTAAGGCCTTCTAACTTCCTGTTTGTTTGTTTGTTAAGGAAAGGCTGAAACTGTAAATATGAAACTTTGCTCAGACATGTCTTACTTCTAGGTTTGCCATGCCTTTTTCCATGGGCAGGTAATGCCTAATAAATTCTCTTACCTTGCTTTCCTTTTGCATTTTTTTCTTTGTTCCTTCCAGTTTTCCTGCAGCTTGGCACTTCACTCTTTGAATACACATTCCCTTCCATTACTGGTCATTCTTCATCTTTTCTTTTTCTTTTGAAATGGTCCATTTGTTCTGCCACTCTTAATTTTACCAAATCACATATTTCATTCCTCAGAGTTTTGTTCTTCTTTTTCATCTCATGTTATTTCCAGTATTCTCTCCTCTTTCATGTAAATAAAAATCTCCTTCTACTTGTCTTTACCTTCACTAAAAATCTAGTGAAAAAAATGTTCTTGAATAAAATACAGTTCTTCAAATATATTTTACTTTTTCCATAAGTACGAGGGTTATCTAGTGTCTTTGAGAAAGGTGGTATAACCTAACCTTTATAACCTTCATAACCTAAACAATCCATCTCAGACATCTCACTCATACTACTTTTCATTCCTTGTCCCATTCCTTGTTTGCGACTTTGGTTTCTATGTGTGTGTGCATGGTTTTGTTTTCAGTATGGACATCAGTGGTATCAGTGGTTATCAAAATGATCACGTTTACAGCATAAGTAACCCAGTGATGGCCAGGTACAGTAAGGCCTTGCCTTGTTTATCTGCATGCCATTTTGATGTCTTTAAATAGGAGAGAGTGGGGCACAACCTAACACCTTTTAGGTCTTACTAAATAATGGGTTTGTTGCACAAGATGGCGCAGTTTAACTTTGGTATAAGCAGTATGTGCATAACGACGTCCTCTGGTGGTCCTACGTCTCTCAGTCGATCCTACTCAGTGACTTTCTACCAAAAATCTGTCAAAGATTGTGTTCAATTATGTATACATCATTATGCACACACTGTTTATATCGGAAGTTGAACTGCACTGTCTTGTTAAACTAGCCCATTTAAAAAAATAATGAAAAATGACAAAACACAAAAATACAAATGAAAATGTCAACTTTGTTTTGAACTTCTACCATTAGTAAGAAAAAAATCAGTTGAAAGCAGGGAGTAAAACTGTTAGAATGACGTTTATGTGTTTCTGATGTTTTGATGTTGAGATGATCATGTTTTCTTTTAAAGGGAGAAAGACTCAACATTATTGGCTGATGTAGATGAGCAATATGTATTATGTAGGCATGATTAGGGAGTTGGGCCAAGGGCTGGTTTACAGGGCAAAAGAATGGCTAAAGTTTTTGGACCGTGTAATACAAATTGAGAGAACATGGACGAATATCTTTCACTTTTTTAAAGAGTGGTCTATATTCCTCTGCAGCGTTCTGCTGTGTTTATGCTATGACGCTTTCATTTGATCTACACTTAGAGGGGTTAGTTGGAGCAGACTGAGGTTCTAGTTGTAGGAGTCTTTGTAAACAATGGGAAAAGCTCTGGACTTTTCTAATTGTTTACTTTGGGAAGCTTAGTTTTAACACTGTTAAAATGATCCTTGCTGTTTAAAGGCTGTACTTTAGCTCTGTCTATGTGTTAAAACAGTGCTATATTACAGCTACCAAGAGAGTGAATAAAATAATGTGAATGTAAATTCTGTGACACAACTCAGTAATCGAAAACACTTTCATTTCATTGTATGGAAACATGTTTTAAAGTGAATTTTGAGAAATACCAGCCTGATTACTGTGAAAATTATGGGTGGTGTTACTATGAGAATACAAGGTCACCAGAAGCACACTGTTCTTAGATCAGAGGCATAGCCAAGGGATGGTGAGGGGTGGCCAGTGCCATCCTAGCATGAAGCAGCTATAGAAAGTGAGACAGTTAGCCATCATCACTAAAGTGTCAATTACACTTTACGGTGAAAATCCGCCATCAAGGTAGTTCAATCAGCAATCAATCCGTTCTAAGATTTTGATGATGCTGCATTTAATAAAACCGCTATGCTTAGCAAATAGGCGAGTGAAATGTGTGCTGGGTCCCTTCAGTGCTCTGTGAGCTAAAATATGAAGTCGGCTATGCAATGGTAAGATGAGTTAACTATCAAAAATGAGTCAGCTGTAATCATTTATTATACTAACTAGTTACTTTTTACCGTTGAACACATGCATGTGTTGTAGGTTACCTCATACACTGCTGACTGGCTAGCTTTCTAATCATTAGACTCATGTATAATCTGTAGCAAGGAAGCTTCTGTGGCCTGTCTATATGAAATGTGTCTACTTTAATATTCTTTTCCTCATGAATGGTTATGAGTTATATAGGTTACATCAACACAGTTTTGTCTTTCTGTTTATGTTCAGCGATAGTTGTATTGATGTAACACCTTATTCACGTGAAAATGATCAACAGATTTATTTATGTATAGAGAAAACCACTTCACTTTTATGACATTTTAATAAAGTAACAATTTTATTTAGTTTTTTTTTCTAGCTGTGAAATGTCAGGGTCTCATCTGTCCATTCTATTCTAAAAGTTCCAGCTACACCTCTGCCTTGGATCTTTTTAACTACATAAAAAATTGTTACACCTCTTGTTTGGTTGTGCCTCACACTATCCTAATGGTGATGAGAGCGGCAGTAGCTTCAATTAATGTTTTCATACAGCAATGGCATGGTAGACAATTGCATTAACAGTGGTCTAGCGTAACTGTGATCGCTCTGATCTTGAATACTGTCTTTTGTTTTACAATGCTACTCTAACAATATGTTTTTATTTTTGCATGTGGAACTGCCTTTTCTTCATTACAGATCATTTTTATAGTCACTGATTGCCTTCAGACGTGTCTGCTGCACTGCTTTTGTTGCTTTTTCAGCATGTTATTTAGTTCAGAAGTATGTCTAGCTTTGCATGTTGGTAGTTGGGATGGGTATTTTTTTGCCATTTTTGCCAATCAGATAGGCCCTTTTTAAAACGAGTAGTATGCAGATATCGCAAAGAGATAATATTATATATTCTTGTGAATAATAAACAAAAACATTTTTATGCAATTAGAATAAGAGATAATCCAGTCGACATGTAGATTCAGCATGCCCATCCCTAGTTAGTAAAAGACCTTACTATAGGAAAGTGTTTTATATATTTTTTACTCAAGATGATTCATCAGCCAATGATCCATAATGACGTCTAACTTGAATGTGTTGCAGCTATCCCTCATACGACACAATGACACGGTATCCTAGAGCCTCCGCCCCACCGAGGCAGCTTGACTGGTGACAAATGCAAGCACATTCACACTTTTACACACATGGGACATGCAGCCCAGATCAGCATAAACAGGTAGTGCCTCTGGAAACAGCTGAACAGTCTCTCCATTGTTCATTCACCATTTCTGTTCATCACTTATACTCCACCACGTTTCACACAAGCCTTGTTATCCTTTCACTGTTCTTTATTTCAGCTCTTCTCCAGATTTAAAACGATTCTGTCACTTCAGACATGCAGCAGTTCCTTTGTCTTAAACTCTTCTTATTACAA